GGATCAAAAATGCCATTGTCAGCCAATTCAAATTTTCTAGAAAAAATCAATTATGTGCGCCATGATAGGGATTTTCAACGTCAAGTCGTTTTGGACCATGACTTTTTTCAAGATGAAGTTGATGCGTTTCAGTTTGGAAAAATATGAATATTCACAGTTGTTTGACTTCGTTCTTTGTTTCAATTGAAAAAATGGAAAAAAATGAGCTCTTTTGTGCAATCTTCAGGATTAAGATGTAACCTGTTTTCAGTATTACTTTGGTAGTATGGTTCATCATCAAATCTACTTTTGTTTACACTGGAGGCTTGTGAACAATATATTTTTCATTTCAGAGAACTTTATGTAAATTTCCAGCCAAACACGTGGTGTAGCGCGAGCCTTGTACTAGAGTTTGGGGTTTCTTTTGCCTGAGGTTCTGATTCGCATTGCATTGGGCTACTTAGTTTATTACATATTTGTGCAATGTTTTGGTTAATTGTCTTCGGAGGTCCTATAATTCTGTGCGTTGTATGTCGTGAAATATTGGTTCAAAATTTCTAAGAGAAAAAGGACTATTTCCTCGAGATTATTTTTGACTGTGATGTCTTGTTCTGTTCAAATGCTGTGATACTGACGGATGAGTGTGATACGTTGGTGCGTACATTTGTACACTTAAGGATGCTTTGGGATTTGCTGCGGTCAATAGTTCTGACAATGATGCTTGTCGGTCTTCAGATGTATTGGGGTTTTCGACATAAGATATTCGAGTAGATGCGTTAGAATTGATTAATTTTATAGTTGAATTATCCCTTGTGAGGACATTTTGGGTGGGACTTTGGGCTGGGTTAGTAGGCGGGTCTTTTATAATTGTGGTTTGATCAAAAATCTTGATGTCGTTTTGTCTTATGTTTTTTTCTAGTTCAAGAAGCTATTTGGTTTTGGTAGTTTTCATTTAAAAAAATGATTATCATTACGATAGCTAATACAATGGTGATTATTGATTGCTTAAGCATGTATAATGGATTAGGATAAAGTATTGAAATTCACATAGTTTTTGCTTTGGGTTTGATTTTTTCGTAAGAAGAAACATTATAGATTTGGAACCTGTAAAAAAACTGCTGGGTGTTTTGATCTGCACGATTAATATGTAACAAGTTTTCAGTATTACTTTGGTAGTTTGTTTCATCATCAAGTCTACTTTTGTTTACACTGGAAGCTTGTGAACAATGTACTTTCTTTTCAGAGAATTTTCTGTAAATTTCCAGCCCACAAGTGGTGTAGCGCGGGCATTCGATTAGAGTGTGGGGATTTTTTTCGTTGTTTTTTTTGCCTGAGGTTCTGATTCGCATTGGTTTACTTACTTTTTTAGATATTGGTGCAATGTTTTGGTTAATTGTCTTCAAAAGTCATATAATTCGGCGCGTGCTGATGTCTATCGTGAAATGTTGGTTCAAAATGGCTAAGAGAAGAAGGATGTTTTGTGATAGTAATATTAAAAGAAACATGTTTATGGAAGACTGAAAGCGGGTCAAAAAAGGAAGATGTATAATCAATTGTTTTCCACTTCCTCTTGGTATATCCGTAAAAATAAAATTTTTAACTCAGTAAAATTGAATGGAGGGGTACAGACTATATTATGATGTCTGGTTGCGATAGTGGAAGCAGTTATTTTCTAAAAGTTTTAAATTTTTCTGTTTTTTCTATTTTTAAAACTAGATATTGTAACTAATTGACTGCCAAATTGCAAAGTCGAGTGCTTTTACCATTTACCAAATAAAGGGGGAATTGCTACCAAACTGTTTCAGTCAAGTTAAAATGACTTCCTATTGTTTTGCAATTCTTGATATCTAGCATTTAGATATGTAGCATTTATTGGGAAGGTATTTAGAGTTGATAGACTGGTCACGTGAGGTGTTGACGGTAGTAAAAGTGTTTATGGTAGAGTTGAAGGTGTTGTACCGGAAATAAGCGTCTATTGGATAGTTTAATAAAATTGGTTCACCGATTGGTTATTTGTAACTCGATAGTCTTATCGTAGGTTTGGTGAATATGGTGATGAATTTATAATTGTAGGAGTGAAATTATTTTCGTTAATTGTGGGTTGCGATGTTGATGAACTTGAAGGTTTGGATGGCGAATTTACATTTCCTTGAACTCTTGCTGTTGTGTTATTTATATTTCGGCGTGGTTGAACTATTGGTCTTTTAATTGTTCTTCCTCGAGACTATTTTCGACTGTGATATCTTGTTCTGTTCAAATTCTGTGATACTGACGGATGAATGTGATACGTTGGTGCGTACATTTGTACACTTTGGGATGCTTTGGGATTTGCTGCGGTCAATAGTTCTGACAATGGTGCTTGTCGGTCTTCAGATGTATTGGGGTTTTCGACATAAGATATTCGAGTAGATGCGTTAGAATTGATTAATTTTATAGTTGAATTATCCCTTGTGAGGACATTTTGGGTGGGACTTTGGGCTGGGTTAGTAGGCGGGTCTTTTATAATTGTGGTTTGATCAAAAATCTTGATGTCGTTTTGTCTTATGTTTTTTTCTAGTTCAAGAAGCTATTTGGTTTTGGTAGTTTTCATTAAAAAAATGATTATCATTACGATAGCTAATAAAATGGTGATTATTGATTGTTTAAATATGTATAATGGGTTAGGATAAAGTATTGAAATTCACATAGTTTTTGCTTTGGGTTTGATTTTTTCGTAAGAAGAAACATTATAGATTTGGAACCTGTAAAAAAACTGCTGGGTGTTTTGATCTGCACGATTAATATGTAACAAGTTTTTAGTATTACTTTGGTATTTTAATTCATCATCAAGTCTATTTTTGTTTACACTGGAAGCTTGTGAACAATGTAATTTCTTTTCAGAGAATTTTCTGTAAATTTCTGTAATCAATGGTGATTGTTCTTTCTGTTATCAATTGAACGTTTGAATTTTCTGTAATCAATGATGAATGTTGAAAGGATGAAGCGGAACGTTTGAAAAAATAACTGGAAAGAATACAAGTTTTTGTTTTATAGGGTACTAATCCTCACTGTAATGTAGTAATATAAAACCAATCATGATCCATGAAAAAAGTTTTGCAGTAAACTGTAAAGCTTAAAATATGCTTAGTATCAGTCAAAGAATTGGAAATAAGGATGAAATCAATTACTTTTTTATCCGCTCTAACATCGCATTAAACCAATATATCACTGGGTCTTTTGAGGATAGAAAACATAAGAGATAAGAGTACGATTAAGGATTGGTATTAGACTAGGAAGTTGTACTACCCTATCAGTCTGCAAATAGATAGCGTAACAATCAGAATGCGAACCCTCATCCAAAATTTTCCTATCAGAAGCCCCTCGGACCTAAATTTATCTGGTTTGTTCAACGAGTCTTGAGCAGATCTAATAGTAAATGAGTTTGAGAAAAAAATCAAAGAGTACATGACAAACAACAAAAAAATTTAGCTTATTTCCAACTCTCGATAAGCTAATCAATCCACACCAATACCAAAGATGGAAACCTATCACAAAAAATACAAAAACCAAAACCTTCATCGCAAGGCGAAAAAGCAGACAACGACGGTAAAATTAAAGATTATTTGTGCAGTAAAAAAACGCAATAAAGAGAGACGTTTATATAAAACGCATTAAAGAGAGACGTAAACTTTATTTAAAAAGACGAGTAAAAAATGAAAAAAAGACAAGTAGAATTCTGAGTAAAATTTGAAAAAGTACCAAAAAAATAAGTATCAACCAGAGGTCGTAGAAAACTTTATCTACCTCAAGCTGAACTTCTGCAGCGAATTTTGTAGCAAAAATTTATTCAAACCTTATAAAGAATAAAATTTCAAAAATAAGGCAAACAAAATTTGTATGAAATTTAGTTATTGCTAGTCTGGCGAGGACTCGTTGATTTCAAGGATCATCATCGCTTCTCGTCTTCAAACTTTTTTAAACACTTCATCTAAAACAATCACTTTTTTACATACTAATCTGATCAAATTCCAGATCATTGAGATTTTTCTTGGATCTTTAAAGATTTAAAATTTCTTACTATATTTTAAATATCAAGTCATCAAGGCGTCTCTTACTGACTTTTTATTTCTAAGTCTTAATCTTTTTCTATTTCTTAAACTTGGTGGATCCTCCAGGCCTTCCTTGAATCTATTTAACTTCAATTTTAAATCCAATCCAACCCTCTAAGTAAATTTCTAACAACCTAAAACGTCGATTCACTTTCCAAGCCTTTCGATTGATCCAGGGCCAACTGACAATCTTTCTTTTCAAAACTCATCAATTAAATTAGGCTAAGCTGTGAAGAACTTCGGTTATTCATCGTTCACTTGAACTCTACCTTTTATTAGACCGAGGTTTATAAGAAACCTTAGAACTAGTAAGTTTTAAAATAGTATCTAACGATATATTTGTCTTCTAAATGTAGCTGAAACTTGTGAATTGATTTAAGATTCTGCAATCTTGATCTCAAAACGATCCCCATTTAAGTAAGATTAAGAATACTTTAAGGTAGAAAACGCCGTAAACGTTTGAGAGCAGTAAAACACCATTCTATTGAATCAAAATACTATCTCCCCAACCCGTCTTCCAGCGACAAACGAAACCAAAAAATAGGTATAACATTAGCAAAAAGAGTAAGAACTAACAGTTGAAAAACCAGAACATTTAACAGCTTTGCTTTGCATCAAACAATTTTCCTGATACTTCAAATTTAATAAGTAAAGTTCAAGCTATTTAAGTATATTCTTTTTTCATCGAAGATTCCCAATACGAATTTGTATTAACACCCTATCCACAAAAGACAGGATTTTTTTAACCTAGAAATCAATGAAAAAAACTAACTCCTCTAAAAACAAAAACAATTTCTTACAAAACTCTCTTCGATGAAGCCTAACGCGTTTTCAGGCTCTGACACAACAATCTTACTTATGCTCGAAAATCTCACAAATCATAGTAACAAACCAAAATAATTAAAAAATCAGATTAAGAAATTTTTTCGATTCCGAAGCAACAACATAATTTTCAATCAAAAAAACGAAGCAATGAAATAATAATAAAAAGAAATCAATTTGAACGGTTACTTGGAACCAATCTAAAAGGCATATTCAAAGCACATTCAACAAAGCAATTTGAATTAACAGGTGACGAATATACAAGGTTCGCAGATGGAACATATTAAGTTTGGAACCCTAAATGGTATCATGGTCTGTTCATTAATACACTAAATGAAATTTTGAGCTCAGCAATCCAAACAATTTCAATAAATAATTATTTGTTGAAAGTTTTTCCATTAGCAACAGATAGAATACCCTGAATCTGTAACATAAAATTTCAAAAGAGAACCGGAAATTTTAGTCTCAAGTCGACAATCATGCATACACAAAAAAATTAGACGGAGCAACAACGCTAATTCAACAAGTTTTTTCAACACATCACATTTTGCAAACAAAGAATTGATTACCACTATGCCAGTAGCAACAAAACAAAGCATCTCAACTTGACGTCTTCCATTCATAACTTCACATACTAAACATGCACTTTTCCAAATGTCCAAATTAAAATCAACAGCTGAATCAACCACACATCGAGTCCATCTATCGATGAATTACAGCCCCATTACTATCACTAAAAACGATCATACATTCGGAAAAACCAAAGCGGACACCATTTTGCAAACCATAATTCAGATTTTTTCGCGATTCAAGTTATAAGTAACGCTATAGCAAACCCAGTTCATACAAGACAATCACAAACTCTCCACCACACCTATCACCAACAACAACACAAAAAACATAGTTCTCTCAGTCAGTTTTAATGATAAAAATAAAACTCAAAAAGATATTTCTGAAAATTACCCATTTCTTTAACAAACTGAACAGTTTGAAATATTTATTGATCAAAACAAAAGAAACAACAAAAATTCATTCTCTGAAGTTGAAAACCATTTTCACAAAATCCAACAACAGCCATAAACGACTGATAAAAGAAATACCAAGGGTATTTTCACGATGAACTCGATGATATTTTTCAACCATATGTTTTCGAATTTTGCCGAACGAAGGCATAGCATACGATAATAAAATCCAATTTATACTCAAAAATGCTAACCTGAAACAATGAAAAACAAAATTCAACTTTCATTTTATTTAGGAAAACTTGGAATCACCAGAAAACAACTCAAATTTCACTCAAACTTCAATCAAGTACCTAATACAGCAGAATCACGCTAAGTAACGTTTAAAACAAAAGTTATGGGTGAATAATCAAATACATAACAAAACCCTAGTGGTCTTCAAAGAAACAGATGCCAAAAACTCAAATAAAATTTATTTTATGCTGTTAAAGCAAACCTAATTTTAATATTAAAACAAAAACCTTAAATACTCAACTTCGTCAGACTTTGATTGATAGACGTACAGCCTTAATACAAACCACACTTGGCAGGGCAGCTCAAAATCGGTCTTCAGTTTTACCAACAGAAATAATAGGAGGTTAAATTTTTGGCACAGCAGTTCTCAAAGTTGTTCTAAGTAGAAAGAAACAAACAACAGCAAAGAAAATTTTGTGATGAAATCCGAATAATTTCCGAGTAATGGTTATTGGCTCGTAATTGGTTATATTGAAGATTTTGTTAGACAACTTTGTTTCTTGGGATTTCTTACTGGCCTCAGTGGTATTTCTCTGACCGTATAACGCTTACGGGTGTAAATAGATAATTTTTTAGGCGTGGTCTCAATTTTGGTTGTCCTACAGTTTATTTTCATCTGTTACTTCTGAATTTTTTTTATTCTGTGTCGATTATCAGTTATGATTAAACGTATATCCAATCAAAAGTGGCTTTTAGTTGAGGAAAGAATATTAAAACTACTTTTTTTTTAACAATGCAATTCCAGTTTTTCTGTAAAAAAAGAGAAGAAGGATCAAAAAGAATTTGTCAGATCTAAAATGGGAAGCGGAAAAAAAACGATATTCACAGCCGAAACTATTCTCTGCTGAGGCTAGACTAAGATGATTACAAGTTTTAGAAAACGATGATTTGAAGGAAAGTGTTAACCAGCTAAAATTTCTTGTTTCTACATTGTTCTTATCGCCGGAAAATTTTCCCACGATGTTTTACAGGATTATCGTATAGTTTTTATTATTGTCAACTTTGCTTAAAAATTTTCCGGGTTTCGCCTGGCTGACATTAAAAACAATTTTTGCTCTGCTCGGAGTGAAATGTCAAAAACTGATCCATGAAAGAAGCGGAACATTAGAAAAAAGTTTTTTTTTTCGAGGGCGAGAGGGCTTGAAGATGATCCGTTTGCCTGTCGCGGGCACTTTTCGATTCAATGATTAGATACAGTTAACCTACTTCTAATATTTGTTTGTTAATTCCGACAACTTTGAACATTTATTATGTTGAGTTTAGGTCCGTGGTGGCCTTATCATGAAGTAATTTTGGAAGAAGTACACGTCTGTTTGTCACCCTATCACGTTCTAAGCCGGATAGATTCGTGCAACTTCTTAGTTTTATACCAACACTAACCTTACTTTTATATATCCTAATCTCAGCAGATCTAGTATATACTGGTATTCTTGCGACATTATATGTTTCAGCTTTTACATTTTATCATAAATTTCAGTAGAGGATCATGATTGGTTACTTCGAAACATTTCACAGTGTTTAACACCAGGGTATAAATTAATACTTTCAATAGTAGTTTCGTACTGGTTTCAATGTGTTTTAAATTTTTTCTCAGCTTTGAAGGGTGTTTGAAAAAACAGAAAATTGAAAATTGTTTTTGTCTGTCAGCTAGCCAAACTTTCTTTTTTGTCAGGTGTTCTGTCTATTATTCCTGTGTCTGTGTCTTTTTCTTGAAAACATCTTTTCTTTGATTAGGTGTTGACTTGGTGTATAATAAGGTTTCATGTGGTCCTAATAAAAATTGTCCTGATTTTCAAAAGAAATTTTTATCTAGGTTTGATCTGGTTTGGATATGATGGGAGTTTCCTGTACATGTTTTTGGTTCGGTGGCGTTAGTAAGCTTCCTTGGTTTTCTAAGCTAAATTCCTTTTTTCAATAGGGTTGAAGAAAATATTGAAACGCATGAATACTATTTAAAATTGGTTTCAGTTAATTTATTGAATTTTGATATTTTTTAAAATAAAATAGTCATGCGAAATTTGCACAAAAAGTAAACAGCTAATGCGAAAGTCGGAAATTTTGAAAGACGAATTGGAAAGATTTTACAAACCAAAAAAAAATCAAAAATGTTTTTTTTTGTCATATTTTAAAACCCATTTGTTTTTTTCTACATTGTATCACAATTTAATACATGAAATTTATCAATGTTTTGCTTGGCAAAAGTTTTGGTTCACAATTTGAAACTCACTGTTATCGTTCAGTATTTATGATTGAAAGGTTTTTAAAAATTAATCTAATTTTATAACGTTTTCCGTGATTTTAGAAATCTAAAAGAAAATTGGTAATGGGTTCCTATAATTTGTTTAATTTGAACGTGATAATCAATGGTGACTTGTGATAAGCCAATCTTACTATAACTTTTTACTTGTGTAGCATTAGTGAGATGTTGAAGTGCTGTTATACCCATGTCGTCTTCTGTTTGACGGAGTGGTATATGGAGTAGGTTAGTAAAATTGCAGAAATGAAACCAAGGGACAGTGGGGATTAGTGTAAGCTCGTCATTATAAGAGTCTAGTTGGCTTTGGGTTCGTTGTTGTTATAGCAGAATTGTGCGAAAACTGAAAGGTTAACAAACAAAAATGCGTGGGTGTTAGTATGTCTAGGGTGCTGGCTGCGGATAAGACTTGACTTGATAGGTCGATTTCGTAAATATCCCCATGGGTTTTTTGGATATTTCCTTTGTACTAGTATACGTCATGCACGGGTGGGAGGGTTGCTAATGGATGATGATGATGTTTGTGATGGTGAAGAGAAGTGGGTGAATTAGTGCTGTAGAAGTTGCTGTAAGTGCTGAACAAGTTCACCTAAGTCGGAATCTAGTTGAATAACTATCATTGGGCTCGGGGTGTCGGGAAGAGTACAAGAAAGGTGAAAGGATCGGGGATGCCTCGATGTATTAGGATAATTGAAGATAGATTGATTGATAGAACTGAGGGAGTTATTGAAAGAAAAGGCGGCTGTGGAAAGTTAGTAGTGGGCTTGAGTCGGTATCAATAATTTTGTTGGGGTGTCTACTGGAGTTATCTAAAAAAATCTTGCGTGTCAAAAGCTGTTTGAATTTAAAAGTCAGAGAATTCACACAATGAATAAAAGTCACACAATAAATTGGATGGAAAAGTGGTGAAAATGAAAGTGAATACCAGTCAGGGAGATGAGACGAGTTTAGTGATAGTGATGACAGAGTTGTGGCGCTGGAGATTGCAAGGGTAGCAATTACAGAAACAGTGGGATCCGAGTTAGCGGCTCATTGTGGGCTCAACCATTATGGGTTCTTAACCATTATGGGTTCCATTGTGGGTTCGCTTAACCATTAAGGGCTTTGGGCAAACCACTATGGGTTAACCATTATTGTGTGAGGTTTTGCTAATGTTTGTCAATGTTTCATCGGAATTTTGATAACTAAGCAATTTGAGAGATTGCGCTTTGTCATTTTTCATTGTTTTGACGGAGACACGATACAAATGAAAATGTTGTTCTATAGTTTGTGTGTGGAATTATTTGTAGTTGTGATACGGTAAATTGTGTCAGAGTAA